TAAGAGAGACAAAGAAGGACACTACATCCTTGTGAAGGGAACAATCCAAGAGGAAAAGATGACAATCATAAATATCTATGCACCAAACACTAGGGCACCAACTATATAAAACAAATACTAATTGACATGAAAAAAAAGCACTAATACAATAGCAGTGGGGGACCTCAATACCCACTGTCACAAATAGATAGATCAACTAGACAAAAAATAAACAACAAAATACTAAAACTCAATCAAACTCTTCAACAAATGAACTTAACAGAAGTTTACAGTGTTCCACCCCACAAAACCAGAATACACATTCTTTCCAGCTGCACACAGGTCTTTCTCCAAAACAAACCATATACTCTCTCCTAGAAAATGTTTAAGTAAGTGTGAAGGAATTGAAGTTATCCCCTATATATTATAAGGCCATAGTGCAATGAAATGGGAGATCAATAGCAAAAGAAACCACAAGAATTTCATAAACACATGGAAATTGAACAACACACTTCTGAATAACCAATGGGTCACAGAGGAAATTCAAGAAGAAATCAGACAGTTCCTTCAATTAAATACAATGACATTACAACATATCAGAATCTATGGGACACAGTGAAAGCAGTCTCATGAGAGAAATTCATAGCACTGAATACTCATATTAGGAAAACAGAATAAGCTCAATTAAATAACCTGATGCTGGATCTTAAGGTCCTAGCCAAAGTGTGTACAAGGGAAGAAATTATAAAGATCAGAGCAGAAATCAATGCAGTGGAGACTAAGAGAACAATACAAAAAATCAATGAAGCCAAAAGTTGGTTCTTTGATATAATAAACAAAATCGACAAACCCTTAGCCAACCTTAGCAGAAAGAGGAAAGAAAAGGCCCAAATGCATGCAATTAGGAATGAAAAGGATGAAATTACAACAGACCTAGCAGAAATCCTGAGGATCATCAATATCTACTTCAAGAACCTATGCGCCAATAAGATGGAAAACCCAGAAGGAATGGACAGATTCCTAGATATGTATGAATTACAAATGTAGAAGGAAGAAGACCTAAAAATTCTAATCAACCCAATATCAATCAATGAAATTGAAAACATAATTAAAAATTGCCAACTAAGAAATGCCCAGATCCTGATGGCTTCACTGCCAAATTCTACAAGACATTTAGAGAGGAACTATTTCCATGACTGTTCCATGACTAAACTCTTCAATGAAATTGAAAGGGAAGCAATACTCCCAAATTCATTCCTGGAAGCAAGCATCACCTTGATCCCCAAAGCAGAGAAAGACCCA